CTGCTTCTCCCTCTGACCCTCCCCCCTCTCATGTGCTCTCTCTCATTCTCTCTCTCTCAAATAAATAAATAAAATCTTTTAAAAAAAATTAAAAAAAAAAAGTGACTCAAGTCAATTTCAGGATCATTGCTGCCTCCTGTTTCAAAGGGTAGGGACATCATCTCAGTTTCAATAGGCCAGCAGAGCCTTGGTGGTGAGACTGCTGTACCAGTGGGTCCAAAATGTGGGATCACTGCCTCAGTGGGTCTGTAAGGTGGGGCATCAAGCCAAACAGCATTTGTTCTCAAGACTGAAGATTTTATGGAATTTGTCCTGCTGGGTTTTAGACTTGCTGGGGACCTCTCACTCCTTCCTTCTTTCCTCTTTCCTTCTTTTGGAATGAGGATATTTATCAAATGCCTGTCCCACAATTGTATTTTGGAAGCATAGAACTTAAGTGGTTTCAGAGATTCGCAGCTGAACAAGAATTTTGCCTCAGGATAAATTATACCTTAAGCTTCACCCGTATCTGATTTATGTGATATTTAGGTAAGACTTCAGACTTGATGCTGCAATGAGTTAAGATCTGAGGGGTTGTTGGGATGGAGCAAATGTATTTTGCATGAACATGAATTTGGGGGAGCTAGGGGCAGAATGCTATGTACTGAACTGTGCATCCCCCAAGTTCATATGTTGAAGTGCTAACTCTCAAAGTGATTGTATTTGGACACAGGGCTTCTCAGAGGTAATTAAGGTTAAATGAGGTCATAAGGCTGGGGTCCTAACCAGATAGGACTGGCAGCTTTATAGGAAATAGGAGAGAGCTCTCTTTTCCCATGCAAGCACCAAAAAAAGGCCTCATGAGGCTACAGCAAGAAGGTGGCCCTCTGCAATCCAGGAAGAGAGCCCTCACTAGAGGCCAAAGCTGACACCTTGATCTTGGACTTCCCAGCCTCCAAAACTGTGAGAAATTCATTTCTGTTGTTTGAGCCCCCCATTCTACATTATTTTGTTATGGTAGCCGGAGCAGATTGAGATAAAAATATACTGGAAACAAAACAAAACACAGAACAGAGCCTCAGGAACTTGTGGGACTACAATCAAAGATCTAACATGTGTGTCATCAGGGTCCTGGAAGGAGAAAAGGAGTGAGGGCTGGAAAATGTGTTCAAAGAAATGATGGCTAAAAATTCCCAACCACATAAACCTACAGATTGAAGTTCAGAAAACAGGATAAACTCAAAGAAATCCACATCAAGAAATATCATCAAACTTGTGAAAACTAAAAACACAATACTCAAAATATGTGCAATAACCTTCGAAGTTTCAATGAAAAAAAATATATACATATATACAAGGCTGTCATGTGCCTCTACCCAAGAATAAAATGGTGAAAGGTAAGTATTTCAAAGCCTTTTCGAATCTTTCACAATCCAATATGCAGTGTCAGCTCAGGTCTACAACTTAATTTGACTATGGTATGAATAAGTCTAAAGTACAAACTACATATGATTGAGGTAAAATCTTTATAAATAAGCACATTCTCGGGTAACTTAGCTTAAAATAGGTAGCTTAAGATAGACTGAAAACATCAAAGGTCCCTCCTATACCTTCTCTTTCTAGGCTGTCAGTCTTGACCCCTGGAGTTAATAGGATTCTTAGAAGGCTGTGAATCAATAAGCAAGGTCTCCAAGACAAAAAGCGCAGAAGCAGACTGCCAGGCCAATGTTCCTTGGCATCAGGGTGGAAACTTTGCACCTGACCAACTAATGAGTCTGACTAATATTTTCCCTGGTTGGGAGCACTCATTTGAGTAGTTATCTCAGTCAACATTTCTTGAGTTCACTCCCCCAGTTCTTTTTCTCAAACCTTCTCATCTATCTCCTAAGTGACCTTATACTTAAGCCTAAGGACAACTTTCCTTCCACCTCTACTCCCAAACCCCGGACAAACTCATTGTGAATTCTCAATCTCTTATTTCTGCCTCTGCAATTTCCCTAAAGAAACCTTCATCTCTTAAAAAAAAAAAAAAAGAAAGAAACCTTCATCTCTTTAAAGCTTCATCTCCTTAGCATTAAGAGACTATCCAGCCCAGGGCGCCTGGGTGGCTCAGTCGGTTAAGCGACTGCCTTCGGCTCAGGTCATGATCCCAGGGTCCTGGGATCAAGTCCCACATCGGGCTCCCTGCTCTGCGGGGAGCCTGCTTCTCCCTCTCCCCCTCCCCCTGCTGGTGTTCCCTTTCTCGCTGTGTCTCTCTCTGTCAAATAAAT